TGGTTGCCCAAGGGACTTGAGAGTGGGAGGTTGTATACAGCTCCTTGAAGAAAGTGACAATGTTTGACTGGATCTCTGATTGATCAGTGATCCAGTTGCCATTGTCATCTTGGAGGGAGAGGATTCTGTTTCTCCTTCTTCTATTAAGGGTAGAAGTGTGGAAAAATCTGGTGCTGGCATCTCCCTCATTGAGCCAGTTTATTCTTGACTTCAGCTTCCAGAAGTCTTCCTCATTTTTGAGTATGCTATTAAGCTCCTCATTGAGGTCAGTTTCCAGCTTTTGGAGAAAGCTACTGTATTGGTAATTGGGGGACTTTTGGATGCCATAGATTCTGGCCAGGAGTCTATTTTTTTTTTTGAAAAATGTTTCCAAAAACTTCCTGGTCCCAAGTAGATGCCAGCTCTTTGAATTTGGCAGTGGATTGGATTAGTGGAGCTTGGTCAGAGAAGGCTTGACTAATGATGTTGGGGAAGGAGGGGTGACTAGTCCACATTGTTTCAAATCTGAAGGGTCTAGATGATTTGAAACTTGGGGGGCCTTCCAGTTGGATCTTCAAAGACAGTGGTCTGAGTGGGTCCTAGGAAGGTGTTGAACAGTTGCCTCAGGGTATTGTTCAATCCAACCCTCATTGGCAAAACACCTATCAATTCTTTCTAGGATTAGTGAATTCCTGTTTTTGTACCTTTTATTAGTCCACGGGAATTTACTTCCTTTATATCCTAGGTCAATTAAATGGCATCTGTTTATGCAGTTCCAAAAATAATTTTTGCGGTTCATGTTGATAGGGTTACCCCCAAACTTATCCGTGGCCTTTAGGACTTCATTGAAGTCTCCCCCTACGAACTAGTTATTATTTAAGGAACTGGAAATTGTGGTAAGCTGATCCCATAAGTTTTTTCTTTCTACAAATAAGTTACTAGCATAGATTGCTGAAAAAATCCAAGGGGGTTGATTTGGTCTTACCTTGACTATTGCATGAATACCTTGCGGTGTGGTGGCCACTTCCTTCACAGCGATTAGGTCCTCCTTCCACATAAACACTATCCCACCAGAAAGGCCCACCGCAGGAGATTGGATAATCATGTCAAATTCTAGAGCCTGGGCCAGAGCTTGATGATCCGCCATTTTTGTTTCCAACAGGACTAACAAAGACGGTTTATGCATCTTAACCATCTCTCTGCAGTGCCTTTTAAACTCGGAACTGTTCCCCCCTAACATTCCATATGATGTAGTTCATCATTGGAAACGTTGGCGATGGGTGAGCTCCATCTTGGGGGCTCGACTGCTTTGGCAGAGATGGCAGAAGTGGGGGAGGGGACTTCCTTTTCAGACTTAATATTGGTGTGAGATTGAGCAGTGGATTGACTTGTCCCTGTGTTTGGGCTGAGACCAGGCTCATTCCGCACTTGGACATGGATTTGGGGTAAAGCACCACCACTATTTCGCTCACTTCCAGACTGAACTCTATCGACCTTACCGAATCTAGGAGAATCGACTCCGTTCTTGGTGTCTGGTAGATTTGCTCCAGTTCTTCTGTTGCATCCTTGCTTTTCAGTAGGTCCAGTGCTTTGGAGACTCCTTGCCGGATATTGTGGAGTGAAGAGGGTTTGCTCGTTCGCTTTGGCATAGATGAGGAGGGAGTCGCTGATGGGTCGATCTGGGTGAACACCGGCTCTGCTGCTGGGTCCTCCTTCATTAGGTCTGGGAAGAATGGGATGGACTGGAAGCTTTGGAGAATATGATTGTTTAGGGCTTAAGGGTCCGTAATCGGCGATGGGTTGTCTGAGCTCGCCATCGACTGCCATAGGAGAGGGCCAAAAGCTAGAAGTGCTTTGTTCAGGGCTTCTACAGTCACTCTGGCAAGGTGAGCCGGATTTTGGACTATCACCATCACCTTTTTGTTGTCCAGTGTGAATTCGTAGGAGATCCCCTGTCCTTGCAAGGCTACCTCCAACCAGGAAGCCGGTTCGTGGTCCGGAGGCAGAGGGTTGGTGGTGACCGTGGTCGGAAGGGTGGTCATAGGGGTGTTTTTTGCCATTTTTGTGCTTTTTTTGTTTTCTACTTTGGGTAAAGCTGGGGTTGGGGTTTAATGACCGATTTCCCATCGTAAATCCTTCTGTTGTCACATCTTGGACAGAGGAAGGGTTTTCAGATGTTGGGATTAGTGGTGAATCTTGGTCATTAATTGGGGATTTGGTGGAGGTGACGGTTGTAGTCTTTTCGACTGCGGATGGAGAGAGGTGCAGGTAGGGTAATCGATTACCATCTCTGTCGTTTGGAATTTCACCATTTTCGTGAGTGGGAGTAGCTTTGGTATGGGGGGGCATAGGTATTGGGGGTTGGGTGTGGGAAGGGGTTCACAGTGGAACCCACAGAGGCGTATCCGTATGGGGTTGGGGGAAAGGCCCCATTGGGTATTTTGTCAGCTGTGATGATTGAGCCTTTGGGGTTTGGTTCAGCCTCCGTTTGGGATATGGGCTCATTATTTGGGTTGGTGGGGTCTTCTGAATCTGGTCCCGCTATCCTCTTGGCCCCCATATTGGGCTGTTCTTCTAAGTTTGGGCTCAGCCCATGATTGGGCCATTGATGGCCCCCGGCTGGTGCTCTTAATGGGCCCACTGGCCTTTTTTTATTTTTGTGGGTGTTATGGTTTGAGTCTTTTATTACATTGTAATTAAAAGCTTTGGTTTGAAGGAATTTACCTGTAATTGCATCGAACATGTTTACCTGAACCTCCTTCATATGTTGAGGGTGTTGTTGTTTCGGTGCAATATCCCCCATAGGGGTGGATGTCTTTGTGTGACCCGGCTTACGTCTCCGTGGGAAGGTGACAGTTTTCCATTCGCTATCCTCTGATGGTGGTTCTGTATGGTTTGTTTCTTCTTGTGTTCCATTGCTTGGTGGGGGGTAGCTTTTGTAGCTGCACCTTAGGGTAGTGTGTCCTATTCTACCGCAGCTAGAACATAGCGTTCCCTCGCCTTCGTAGATCACTGATTGTATGTGATCTCCTATGATAACTGATGTTTCCACTGGCTTTTCTAGAGGCACCTAAATACAAATGCGAGCATATCTCCCCCTTAGGGTAGATGATGTGCATTGGTCAATCTTTAGGAGTTTACCTAGCTTTCTTCCAACTTTTTCCAAGATTACTTTATCGTAGAACTCAATTGGGAGTTGTGGTAGCCGTATCCAAATTGCAGTAGAGGTGAGCGTAGCTTCCTGAGGGACGAATTTTGGTTCCCATTTCCTAACTGATAGGAAATGCCCCGAGATAAACCATGGCCCTAGGTGTAATGCCTTAACCATGCTTTCCTCTAAGCTAAATTTTGCTATGAAGAAATCCCATCCTAGGTCAATCAAGATTAACGCTTCAGATGGTTTCCATAGGTCAATTATTTTAGATCGTAGCATATGGTAAGACATCTTTTTTTTGAAAATTTTTATGATTACTGAGTACCTCTAGGGGGCATATATGCGTTCCTTTTCTTCAGCTGAGAATGGGATGGAGCCTTCAATGTGTTTCCCTTTAGCTTGTTCAAGGTGGTTTCCCATATCGTAGTAGCTTGTTTGGCTACCCGTTTGTTTGTCCAGGAGCATTTCCTTGTAGGAATTTTGGGGTGTTACCACCTCCATTTCTACTTCCTTGTCTGGGGGCTCTGGGGGGAACGGAGGCTTGATCGAGGAGGGATCCATGCGGGTGTGTTTAAAAGAGGTTGAAAGACTAGAGAGAAGCTGGAGCCTCTCTCTCTAAAAAGTAACAAAGTTAATCGATAATGAATATTGTTGCTTACTTCATCGAATATTGTTGGTCCATAAATTATGCCACAAAGGCAATATTTTACCCTAACTCACAACATTTAACTTCTTTTCCGAAGTTATGTCTCTTGGGAGGAATTAAGGTCTTTCAATTATTTTTCTCTATAATGTGTAAGCAGAACAAAATTGCATTATCGTCAATATGAGTTGTATATAATTTGTATGATAATATATTATATATCGTTATTGTTGGGAGAAATTCAAAAATAGCCAGATTTACAAGTGGTCATTAAAAAATAGCCACAGTTTCAAAAGTAATCGAAATTTAGCCACTTTTCATGTAAAGATAAATCTGAACGAAAACACTGTTCAAAATCCGTAAAAATACTCCGGTATAATATACTGGACTGGAGTTCCAGCATAAGTATACTGGAACTCCAGTATAATATACTGGAGTTCCAGTATAATATATCGGTCCAGCATAATATACTGGAGATTAGAGCACCGATGCTCCAATCTCCAGTATATTATACTGAAACTTTCCGCGTATTGGAGTTCCAGCATAATATGCTGGAAGATCATACACAGGTGCACCGATCTCCAGTATATTATGCTGGAACTTTTCATGTTGCAGCAAAATAGTGGCTATTTTTCAATGACTTTGCAAATGCTGGCCATTTTTGAATGACCAGTCCGAAAACTAACTAGCCCGTGCTATTTTTACGTTATTATTATGTGTTAGAAGATATCAATTCTACATGTTGACATCCAAAGATTCAAAGTAGCCATAGCCCATAGCTAGATGGGATATGCCTCCATTGGGCCCAGGTCACTTTTTGGGTTGAGATTTTTGGGCTCTCCTACCTCATGGACTTTAACTTAAATTTTTCTTTGAGCAAATTTCATTTGCAGCCGGCTAGTGAAAATAATTATCATTTGCAAACTATGAATTAAGCCATATAATTTATAGTCCCAAACAAATTATAATGGCTAGTTTAAATTTGCTCAATTGCGGTAGATTTCCTACAAATTAGGAAACTGATTCTAAATATTCCATAATAGTCTCCAATTAAAACAAACACCCAAAAATAAGAGCTTATTTAGGGTAAATAGAAAAAAAATCAATACAAAATACAGTCAATTATTTCCTAAACAATCTCCTCCTCTTTTGGCCTTTCCAAGCTATAGTATCCTTGCACGTTTTTTTTCCTGTAAGCGTAAATTTCATTCATTTTATACAAAAATGTGGTAATGATGGCATATTTGCTTTGACCAAACTTTACTTTTCAATTAATTTTGTATATACATCGTCGAAATACATACAAGATAGACTGTCACTATACAAAAAATATACAAAACAGACTGTCATTGTACAATTTATATGCAATAGACTATCACTATACAAAAAATATACTAAATAGATTATATATATATATATATATATATATATATATATATATACAAAACATATACATTTGCCTGTTATTATTTTTTAAGGCGGCCTAAAAATATAACTATCCCTTAATTTTTCATTTAGGTGGTCGTAGGCTGAATTGTTAATATTGCGTTTGCGTATAGTGGAAATCATGTCATATTAATATGTTGCTTCCTCTTCTCGCCACTTGTTAATTATTTCTGGGTAATTCTTGTTTTTAGGGAGTGCCCTGAGGATTGCAGAGAAGCTGTGTCGACGTTGATGTTTGCAGCAGCAAGATTTTCTGATCTTCCAGAATTACGTGGATTGAGAGCTATATTCACTGAGAGATATGGAAATTCCCTTGAACTTTTTGTGAATAAAGAGGTAGTTACTTAATGTCTTCTCAAAGGGAGCCTTGGGTAAAGTTGCTGCCATGTAATCACGAGGTCACGGGTTCAAACCGCGGAAACAGCCTCTTGCAGAAATGCAGTGTAAGATTGCGTACAATAGACCCTTGTGGTCCGGCCGTTCCCCGGACTCCGTGCATAGCGGGAGCTTAGTGCACCGGGCGGCCCTTTTTACTTAATGTGTTCAGCAACGTACATAATAGTACTCACACATAAACTTTGACCTGGAGCTCTTTCTTCCTCTATTTAAAATACATTTTCATTTCTTGACAGTTTGTTGAAAAGCTAAAGTCACAACCACCAACAAAGGAGATGAAGCTTCAATTGATGCGAGATATAGCAGTAGAATCTGGTATAAAATGGAACTCAAGGGATTTGGAGCAGAAGCTATATAAACAACTGATGTCTGAACAAGTAAGTTTTATGAATCTTGTCATTTGTTGGGATATAAATGAACTTGCATTACTATCATAAAGGAGTTCCTCAACATTTCTTTGGCTACACATAGTGAAGATATGTTCAGTACTTCTTTTAGCTACCTTATTTCTATCTTTTACAGGACAGGCCCAAGAGTCACAATGATAAAGAGCATAAATTGTACAAGAAAACAGACGAATCAACTCAGAGAAAAGAACATGAAGATGCTAAATTTAATCATGAGAATGCGAGGCAACATACAACTTGTAAAGCGAAAAGGGAACATCATTCATCTTATGGAAGTAAGAATAGTTTGCCTAAGGGAAGGGACAGTGACAAACAAAAAAGAGATAATTTAAGTCTCGCATCCAACAGAAATTTGGATGACATAACTCCAATCAAAGATGGCAAAAAAGGGAAACAAAATGAACCAGATATGGGTAGCTGTGTATCTAAAGAAGAATCTGATGACAAGAAGCCGTTCTATTATAGGTCATTTCAGCCCCAAGTCAAAGCATGCATTACAAACAGCACTTCAGAGGAATCTCCTATTGGTTTCACTAGGGAGGCAGAGGGACATACAGAGATAAATCAGATGAGGGTTCAGATGGCCAAAAAAGAAGATACTTGTGTAAATGATACACTCAAAAAGCCAAAACCAAAATCAGTTAGGAGGACACGTCTGCAGCCGATGCGTGGTTCTGAGGAGGACTCGGATAGATTGAAAGGCGAGGAAAAAGGAAAGGGCCTCACTAGTGGAGTGAAAGATAATGGAAAACGTGGGATAAGAATCACAAAAGGTGATCAGCGCGACGAAGAGGAAAAGATGATGGACAGGCTTTTAATACACTATACTCAGAAACAGCTTCAGAATGAAATTAAGAAACCAAAACCAGTTGTTAAGCTACCTAAAATAGCTGAAGTTGACGCTTGTGAAGTTTCAAGGCAGAGTCCATCAGGCCGAGCAGCAACTACTCCTATTGAATTGGAACATGCTAGTCCAGCACTCAAAGTCAGAGAAGAGGCAAATTCCTTTGAGCAAGATATGTTGAGTCCAAATGGGCATATCCATCCCAAGCTACCAGACTACGATGACTTTGTCACTCGACTGGCTGCGTTTNGCAAAAAATTGCACGAGATCGACTAGGATTAAAAAGAAGAGAAAATGAAGAAATTGTTGATGAGAAGCTTTAAACTCGAGGAGAACCAAATAGAAGGTGAATCAAGAGTTTAGGACTGAGATATTGATTTTGCTGACTTCATCTTCTTTTTCAGATCTAGCTAGTGTTTTGATTTTGATTATTCTACATCTTGATGGTTACGGCCTTTTGAAGCTCGCCGGAGGAGGTTACAGAAGATTCATATGGCTACCCCACAAATTTACAATTGAGAATTGTCTATGTTGAAAAACAATGGGTTTCATATTGAATCTCTTTGGCTAAAAATCTGATTATAAAAAATGGGTCTCATTTCTGTATTTTTTGAGAAGAAGAAGGAATGGAGAAGAGAAAGAAATGGGAGGGGGAAAATGGCGCTGGTCAGATCTTGGAAATTAAGGGGAGAGAGAAACGTGTGATATATGGACACCTTTAATTAAGGAGTAAAAAACTGCCAATTAATTATGCCTCTAAATTAATTATGGTATATAAATGGTAATTTGGTATGCTGAAATGTAATTAACTCAAACCTTAAACATTGAGGGTAATAAGGTTACATATGTGGTATAGGAAGGTAAAAATTCTCATTATAGGAGTAAACTATTCACAGGAAATTATCATTTGTATTCAACAACAAATTTGGATCCCCAATGAATCCCAAAGCCCAGGGGCGGAGCTAGCCTACCCGTTGGGTTCGACGAACCGAATAACTTTAGTTTGTACCTTGTATTTATCTAAAAAATTCATTAAAAATATACAAATCATTAATTTAGAATTCTAGTAAATAAAAAAGCCTAAAATCCTGAACCCATTAGTTTCAATTCTAGCCCCGCCTTTGCCAAAGCCAACCACATTGATTTAGTATCCATGGATTCAGAAGAAGGCGATTGACCTCAGGTTTGAAGAATTAACCCAAATAGTCGTTCAATCAATCGCTTAAACTAGAGATAATCAGCAGACATATAAATATGAATAATTCATGTACAATATTTATATAATCGTATATAATCAATCTATAATTTATATATGCTGAGTGAAAAAAGTAAACAATGAATCCGTAAGACTATTTGTGTAAAGATCTATATTGCAACTACTGGAGGGCCATCTGGTGGGTTACGGTGCATCACTTTATTCGGCATGGGAGGTGCGAGTGGGGTCTATCACCCTTCTTCTAACGAAGGAATCAGAAATAGCCAGATTTATTATTGGTAATTGAAAAATTGCTTTAGTTTCAAAATTTATCGAAATTTAGCCATTTTTCATGTAAATATAAAATCTAAACAAAAACTCCCTTAAAAATCAGGAAAAATTCCAGCATAATATGATGGATTTCAAATTTTTTTCATATGAGATTCCAGCATAAATTATAAATTTATTCTTTTAGAAATTATGGTTATCTCCATACCAATGCATATCATAACAAAAATAATTATATTATTTGTATATCCCAGTGTACAATACATCAAATTATGTCTATACCAAAATGATATCACAAGTTTATTTTTCGTCTTTATGTATATCAATGTTTTTTTTGTATATCTCAATTTTTTTAATATATCTTAGTGTATAATACATAATATTTTTTTTATATACGTACAAGTAGAGAATCAATCAGTAATATATGGGTTCACACCATAATGAACTTTATGCAAATAATCTACCAAATACTGTTAAATTCATAGTAGATGTAATGAAAATCTGTTCACCCCAATAACCACAAATCACGTACGTCTAATTTGAAATTTGCCAATTTTTATTATATCATATAAAATGAGACAGACGAGGACTAATTAGTCATTCGCCCCACTGAATTGAAGAATGTCTTTGTCTACAATGAATCTATCACTTGAAGGGAATCAATCTAGCTATATTCCAAACTTCCGTCCGAAACGACCATGTGGTGAAAAAGCTAGCAGAGATAAAAAGTGTAACCCAAGGTTCAACTAATTGACAAGAATCCTAATGTGAAATTAGGAGCAATTTATGAACCCTAATTACTGGAGGAGAATTGGGGAAGAGAATTTAGAGAGAGAAATATCAGATGAAGAAAGAAGACTTCATTTTCTGTTAAAAATCGTTTGTACAGTGTATGTGCAAATATATATATAGAAAACACTAATGACTATTTTCCACTAACTATCTAACTAACTCACTCAACTAACTTTAATAATCTAGAACATTCTAGAATACTCCTACTCATCCATACACCTACTATGTTACTGCATTCTCATTACTCCCCCTCAATCTAGATGGTGCAAAAATATTTGGCACTCCTAGCTTGCTTACAAGATGTTCATGTTGTGGCCTTGCTAACCCTTTTGTTAAGATATCTGCTTCTTGATCTCTGGTGCCCACATGCTTTGTCTTGATCAGTCCTTCTTGAATCTTCTGTCAGATGAAATGGCAGTCTATTTCTATATGCTTTGTTCTTTCATGGAATACAGGGTTAGCTGCAATCTGCAGTGCTGCTTTACTATCACTGTATATCTCGATTGGTAGTTCCACATTAGCCCCAAGCTCCTTCAGAAGTGCTGCCAACCAAACTACCTCTGAGACTGCACTAGCCATGCTTCTGTATTCAGCTTTAGCTGAACTCTTAGAAACTGTATTTTGCTTCTTCGATTTCCAAGAAAGTAGTGACTCTCCATACTTTACTGTAAACCCTGATACTTATTTCCTTGTGTTGGGACAAGATGCCCAATCTGCATCACAGTACACACTCAATGTGTTACTGCTGTTGCTGCTCAATAGAATACCCATGCCTGGTTCTCTTTTGACATACCTTACTACTCTTAAGGCTTCTTCCCAATGAGACTTCTTGGGACTCGGCGGAAATTGGCTAAGTGTCTGCACTGAAAAGGCTATATCAGGTCTGGTGAGTGTCAAGTATAGCAGCTTACCAATGAGTCTTTGGTATTGCCCTATGTCATCCATCAGCATATCATCTTCAACCCCTGTTAATTTGTCAAGTTCTGATATTGTCAGCTTTACATTTGCCTCCAATGGAGTCCAAGCTGGTTTAGCTCCTGTTAGCCCCAAGTCAGATATTATTTCCAAGGCATATTTCCTTTGGTTGATTAATATACCTTTCCTTGACCTACTGAATTCCATTCCAAGAAAATATTTTAGTTCTCCTAATCTTTAATTTTGAAGGCCTGATGCAATGAATTTTTGGTGGCTTCAATCAGTTGTAGATTACTTCCTGTCACTAGCATGTCATCCACATAGACTAGGATCACTACAACATCTAAATCTTGGTGTCTAATGAACAATGAGTGATCTAAACTGCTCTGATGAAAACCAGAAGATAGGAAAGCTTATGTTTGTTTCAAATTCCATCGCCTACTAGCTTGTTTAAGTCCATAGAGGGATTTTACAAGTCTGCATACCGTACCAGACTCCTCCTGACTTGTAAAACCCTATGGCAACTCCATATAGGCTTCATCATGAAGATCCCCTTTCAAGAATGCATTGTAAACATTTAATTGGTGAACAAACCAATTATGCACAGCAGCAAGTGAAAGGACAATCCTGACAGTGGCTATTTTAACCACTGGTGAGAAGGTCTCATTATAATCTAAACCTTCTTTCTGATTATATCCTTTAGCTAATAATCTAGCTTTAAATCTCTCCACTTCACCATTGGCCTTGAGCTTCACCTTGTATACCCATTTGCACCCTATAGCCCTCTTGCCTGCTGGTAACTTGACCAATTCCCAAGTGTTGTTTTCCTATAATGCTTGAAGTTCTGCTTGCATTGCATCTACCCACCTTTGATATTGAGAAGCCTGCTGAAAGTTCTTAGGCTCTATGATTGCTGGAAAAACTCCTCGATACAGCTGATGAGATGATGATAATCTGTCATATGTGACAGAACCTTCAATAGGATATAGAACTGAGCTAGCAGAGGATTTGTTTCTGTTGGTGACATAGTCAGTCATCCATACAGGTTCCTTGGATTCTCTTTGAGATCTTCTTAAGGGAATATGAGTGTCAGCACAGCTTGGCAGTGGAGGGGTACCTTCTATGGGGGCTTCTGAAGCAGGTGACTCAATCTCAGGTGCATCTGCATTCTGAAAGTCATGACCAGTTGTAGTATCAACTGTGGTGTTGATGTCTGAGTTCACTGCAGGTGGGCATGATGTAGCAGTGGTTGTGGGCACATTGACATCATGGTCTAGTGTTGTTGTAGGCATTGGCATACTGTGATCAGCATTGGTGAGAAAAGGATCCACTGTCCGACTTGTCTTTGCTGACTGCAATTGAAATGGGAATACATCCTCCCTAAAAGTAACATCCCTGTTAGTAAAGAACACATTTTTTGACATCATATAGAATGTATCCTTTATTTACATTGGAATATCCCATAAACACTGACTTTATTGCCCGGCTTGCAAATTTATCTCCTTTTGGCAATGTAGCAGCATAACATAGACATCCTACAGTTCTTAAGTGAGTGATAGAAGGTCTCTTGTTAAAGAAAACCTCATAGGGTGATTTTCCTTGAAGGACTACAAATGGTAGTCTGTTTATCACATAAGCATCAACTAAAATGCAATGACCCCAAAACTTGAGAGGAATGTACCCCTGAACTTTATTGCTCTGGCAACTTCAAGCAAGTGTCTGTGCTTCCTTTCTGCCACCCCATTCTGTTGGGGTGTGTACACACATGTTCTTTGGTGTATAATTCTCATTGTTCCACATAGGTCCTGCATTCCTGGGTTTACAAACTCCCCTCCATTATCTGACCTAATTGTTTTAATCACAACATTAAATTAAGTCCCCACCAGTTTAACAAAGTTCCTTAAAACTATGATGACATCTGACTTTAGCTTTAACAAAAAAATCCATGTCACACGAGAGTAGTCATCCACAATAGTGAGGAAGTATTTATTTCCATCAAAAGTTGGTGTAGCATAGGATCCCCATACATCTAAACGTAACAGTTCAAACACCTTATTTGATACTCAAAGAGAAAGGTGATCTGTGATGCTTAGCTAGTGGACATACTTCACATTTATCTACTACATATTGACAAGTATCTAAATTGTATCCCAGGAGCTGCTTTATAGGTCCTCCTGAGGCATGTCCCAATCTCTTGCGCCAGATGATTGCCTCCACTTTATTTTCTTGTGTTGTTAGTCCCCTTGCATTCTCCCTTTCTTTTAGTTCTGCTGCATTATTTGTTTGTGAAACCAGCAAATAGAGTCCATTCCTTTCTTTACCAATCCCCCTCACCTCCCCAGTGAAGAGGTCCTGGAACAAACAAAAATCAGGATAGAATGCAACTAAGCATCTAAAATCTCTTGTGACTTTGGAAACAGACATGAGATTGTACTGAAAATCTGGTATAAACAGGACATTTTTGACCTCCCCTGTTCCTGTTATTCTGTAGTTACCAATATGTGTAACATGTTCTATTTCTCCATTTGGCAAATTAACATTCTTAGTGTCTTTAACATCAACTGATTTAATATCTCTTAATAATCTTATATCTGCAACCATATGATTGGTTGCACCTGTATCTATTATCTAATGAGCCTTTGCTACATCAACAAGAAATGAGTAAGCAGTATTACTTGCCATATTAGCTACATTCTCTTGTGCTTGTTCACGGTTGGTATTGAGATTCAACATCTTCATTATTTGATCATATTGTTCTGCAGTCAGCAGTGGTGCTCTAGCCATTTCTCCTTTGTTACATCCATCAAGTTGCCCAGTATTTTCTGCATTCCCAGTGCCTATGTTTGGATTAGCATTCTCAGCACACACATTGTATGCAGTGTTCATGTTCATCTTCCTTTTTCCTTTGAAACCTACGGAGTACCCAGTCAGCTTGTAGCACCCTTCGTTTGTATGTCCCTTCATCTTGCAATAGCCACATTGAACATTCCAATTCCTCCTTGGCTTTTGATAGTTCTGATATACATCATATATCCAGCTAGAAGAGCTGTAGGTTCATTTCCATCCCCTGTTGTTGTAGTGTTAGCTACTGTCCTCTGACTCTCTCTTTCAACTAGCACTGAGTATGCTTTGTTAATGCTTGGAGTCGGACTAGTCATCAGAATCTGGCTTCTAGCTTGCTCATAAGTTTCATTTAATCCCATTAGGAATTATAGAACTTTCTGCTTTTGCATGAACTCAATAAAGTTTTTAGATCTTGGACAGTCACATGGAGGTGGTACGATATTGTCAAATTCATCCCAGAGATTGTGCAATTTAGAGAAGTACACTGATACACTGTCAGTACCTTGTGTAACTGTTGCTCTTCCTTTGTACAACTGATAGACTCGTGAAGTATTTACTTTATCAAATCGCTCCCTCAGATCTTCCCAAACAGCCCTAGCATTTTTGGCATAGACTATTCCTGTTATCAATTCCTTCGATACCGAGCTCATTATCCATCCCAGGACTATGGCGTTACAACGATCCCATTGGCGACCTAGTTCATCTTCAAAATCACCTTTTCTCAGAGTCCCGTCGACCAGTCCTAGCTTGTTCTTCCCAAGCAGTTGGATCTCCATCGCTCGACTCCAAGTAGTGTAATTATCTGAACCAGTCAGCTTGATCGATATAATCAGCACACCTGTTGTATTAGAAGGATGAAGGAAAAGTGGATGGTTATGATCCAATTCTGCCTTGCCACTATTGTTGAGCTCTCAATTTCTGTAATTTGCTTGTATATAGAACAGGATCTTCCAAAAAAAAGTAATTCACACTCGCAATTGCGATGAGTGCTTTGATACCATGTGAAATTAGGAGCAATTTATGAACCCTAATTTCTGGAGGAGAATTGGGGAAGAGAGTTTAGAGAGAGAACTATCAGATGAAGAAAGAAGACTTCATTTTCTGTTAAAAGTCGTTTGTACAGTGTATGTGCAAATATATATAGAAAACACTAATGACTATTTTCCACTAACTATCTAACTAACTCACTCAACTAACTTCAATAATCTAGAACATTCGAGAACATTCCTACACATCCATACACCTACTATGTTACTATATTCTCGTTACCTAAAAAAACTATTAATTAATTAACCTTCCTTAGTCCTTTCAAAATGCTAATTAAATACTATACTCATATATAATTCCATATCACTATGTCGGTATATGTTAATTTAACATATATAAGATCAATAAATGTAAACAAACATCAATGCCTTTTCCATCAAGTTTCCGTTAAGTCAACAATCAATATATAAGTAATTTACTGACTAAATGCTTGAAAAGTCTTCTAACAAAAGAACTACTACCAAAATACCAAAAACTTCTAACCATCAAATTTCCGTTAACAATCAATATACAAATAATTTACAGACTAAATGCTTAAAAAGTCTTCTAACAAAATAACTACTACCAAAACGTTGAAACAATACAAACCAAAGTCGAAATGGTCAGAAAACAATCAAACTCCTGTTTCTCTTCACCTCAGCTTTCTAATCAGCCACCGGCCACCGCCTGCAACTGCAACGACGTGGCGGAGTTTACGTGTACTTTGTGCTTATTATGTGTATGTTGTCCATTTTCCATCATTTGTTGTTGTGTTAAGACACCATACAAGATTGTTAAACGATTAGCAGGACATGTCAAAAATAAGACTTGTTGTAGATTGGAGAAAAAGGTTTTGTCAGGAGATTATTCTTTGTTTTCAGACATGGATGTAGAATATCAGAATAAACCTGCTGGTCCTACCAAGAAGAAGGATTTGCTTCTGTCCAAGAACTGAATATTGATACTCAGCAATTAAACATTAATGTTTTTTATGTTAACGGGTGCATTGAGAATTGTCTATTAAATGAGTTAAAGAATTTGTTTCTTATTGTCTAGACTGATTTGAAAACCTTGATTTATTATTGTATTTAGTGGTGGACCCAGAATTTTGCACAAACGGGTTCAATTTAAAATGATGCGAACTGATAGTATAAGCGGCATCGAACATGGCAAATAGAATTTGGTCGCATCTTTGTTAATTTTCTTCTTCTTTTTATTTTATTTTATAGTGTGATGTTAAAATTAAGCCATTTAAGCGCATGCTATATTTTACAACTTTTAGGCATTTTAAAAGTACAAAAAATATTTCCTCCTAATTTTGTGAACAATTATCTTTT